TCCCTCTATACCGTATTTTTCTAGCTTCGTCATCAACTTCCTTCTATCAACTGTTTCAAATGCACGCTGTAGGTCCAGGAAAACCGCACCAATGAGGAAATCATTATCCCTTTTTTCTTTCCATTCAAAAATTATATTTTGTATAGCAGATTCACAACTGTGTCCCTTGCGAAATCCTGATTGTTTTAAAACAAGTATATTATTTTCTGTAATAAATTGCGTTATCTGATCATATACTATACGCTCAATAAGTTTTTCAATGGTTACCAACATATTTATTGGTCTTAAATCACTGGCTTTATTTGAATTCGCAACTTTAGGAATTGGTATAATGGTGGAAACCTTTAATTGTGTAGGGAATTTACCTGTCTCTAATAAGGTGTTAATGAGATTCAAAAGAGGTTTTTCGATACTATTGTAAATATTTTAAAAAAATTCCGATGTAATTTCATCAGGACTACCCTTGTTTGGTAAGCTAAAAACTGCTTTTTGTAGTTCTGGATAATCAATTAGCCTGAAGTTAGTTAACAAGTTCGACGGTGTTTTAACAAGTTTTTTATTTTTAACTATTTTGTTGGTATCTATTTCACTAACAATGTTGTTTATGCTATCAACATAAAATTCGTTAAGTTTATTACACATTTCCCCAGGGTCGGTTATTTCATCATTATCAATATCAACTTTTTGTATTTGGTTACTTTTTTTTGAAGTTATTAATGGCTTTAATGTATCCCACATTTGTTTAGGATTATGCCTGCAGCCGTCAATTTTATCCTGGTAAAATTTCTTCTTTTCCTGTCTCATGATTTGTACTGCCATATTTCTGTTTTGCTTATAGATGTCCTTATCTCTTATAGTTCTTCTTCTTTTGTAATCTTTGTAACTCTTATCCCTTTTAAATACAGCCTCTTTTACTGTGTCGTTCCACCATTCTTTATATTTCCCTTTTATTAGTACTTCTTTTAAAGGGGCAATTTCATCTAAGGTATTTTTTATAGTGCTATATAGGGAGCGGTATTTATCATCTATATTACTGTGTGAATAGTTCCAATTGGTCCTGCTTAGTTTTTGATTAAGTTCCACATAATTGATCTTTCCACGTGTAAAAATTTGTTTATCTGTATCATTTAAACTATTTATTCGCATATTTATTGAGATAATGTAATGATCGCTGATTTTTGGGGTTGAGTGAACGTTACACTCGATATTCAAGTCATTAGAAAATACCAAATCTATTATACTACCTCCTGCCTCAGTAGGATGTGTGATCGAATTAACTAGTTGGGAAAATCCGAAATCCAACATAAAGGTCTGCAACTTAATTTTAGATGTTTTATCACCCAACCAATTAATGTTGAAATCCCCAACAACCAGGACTGGATAGTTTTTATCCGCTATGCCAGTACACCAGTTTTCAAAATTATTTAAAAAATCAGCGTCACTACTACTTGGTGAATGGTACAAACGCGCCACAACATATTTTCTTTTATTAATAAATAAAGTGATATTTGCCAGCCAATAGTTCTTTAAATATGAATATTTTTCAACAGCCCGAATTTCGACATCATTTCTTACATATATTACCACTCCCCCTGTATGTCTATTGACACTGTCAACTCTTACAATTTTATATCCGTTAATAGAAACTTCGTTATCACCAACTTCGCTAGTAACTCTCGTTTCACTTAAGCACACAGCAAGTGGCTTGGAGTCAAATATAAATTTTGAAATTTCGTCGAATCTAAATAGCAAACTCTGTGCATTTATGAAAGGCAACCCTATAAAATAATATTCAAACCAACTCCAATCGGTTCAAAACCCTTTGAACACCTTTATATTGATACATACGTAGTTTCGAATCAAAAATTCCTAACAATTATTGACAGCTTTTCGAAGTTTGCACAAGCTATCCCAATTATTAGCAAAACTTCAGTTGAGATTGCATCACAATTAATAAGATATTTCAGTGACCATGGAATTCCACAAAGAATTACTTCCGATAACGGAACTGAATTTAAAAACGCAATTGTAACAGATTTATGTACTTTACATAAAATCGAATTCCATTATACGACACCTCGAAACCCTAATTCTAATAGTCAAATAGAAAGGCTACATTCTACCCTGAGAGAAAGTCTAACAAGCTTGAAATTACAAAGCCCTAATAAAAACATTAATGATTTAATGGTAATTGCAATCTTGAATTATAATAACAGCATACATAGTGTTACAGGTTATACACCTTTCCAAATAATAAAAGGCGATTTAAATTATTCAATACCTATTGAAAATTCACAAAATAAGATAACCACAGATTATATTAATAATCTTGCCGAATCATTAGAAACTCTAAATAATGTAATTCATGACAAATTAATATCAAAGCAAACACAAAATTTAGAGAAAATCAATAAGCAACGTAAAAAGGAACCTGAATTAAAAGATCCAATTTTTATTAAGCAATTTGACAGAAATAAAATTAGTCCTTGTTATGGTGCTAAAACACAAGTCAAATTTAGTAAACCAATGGTAAAGCGACAACATTTTGTTTCAGAAAAACCAAAATGTTCCTGGCAGCTTTCATCATCCTCCTCATAGGAATTTCCAGTAACGCCTACACATTAACTCCCTTAAGAAATCCTATTTTACCGATTTCTATAGGAACCACTTACATCACAACACAACACAACACTGCATGTTATCACATTAATACTACCCTTATTGGAAACAGTATAAAAACTCTCGAAATAACTTTAAAGAATTTAAACAATACTTTAAATTTAACCAAATGGTCTAATAAAGACGAAATTGTTACTTTATTACAAGTAAATATTGAAACTAGTCAATCACGTATCAATACATTAAAGAAATTTATAAAACAATTTTCACACGATCGAATTGAACGTGGAGTATTCAATTTTATTGGTACCGCACAAAAATGGTTGTATGGTACATTAGACACAAATGACGGCGATAGATATGACTCTTACATTCAAACATTAAATGAGAATCAGCAAACTATCGATAAAAATCTAAAAGATCAAGCAAACGTACTTCAACAAGTTACGAAAACATTTCATGATCAATTTTCTACTATCGAAAATAATCAGATAATTATCTCAGACAAGATAAAAAATATTTCGACGGATAATCAAAATATTCAAACTATCTTACTGATGAATCTAATTTTAGAAAATATTAATATGCACATTAGTAAGCTGCGAGAAATTATTAGCCACATACAAAACGCAATAAGCTTTGCACGCGTAGGCATAATGCACTATACAATTCTGCAGCATCATGAGTTAAATTTGATCTTGAAAAATATACCCGAGAGAGAACAAATACCCTTTGATAACGTAATTAAATACTATGAGACAATGTCCTCTCATGTAATTATTCAAAAGGAATTAATTATTTTTACTATATTCACAGCAATAATTAATCCTAAACCTTTTATATTGTATAAATTATATCCTATACCCATCCAAAATTATACAATTAGTGTTAAGTATCCTTACCTTTTACTTACATATTACAACGCTTTACAAAAATGTCCAAATGTTGAAGACATTTATTTGTGCAAAATGGAACTATTGAAACAAGATGTGTTCACGACATTGTATCTAGTGAACAACAATTATGCCCATTCACGAAAATTCAATATGAAGAATCGACAATTGAAGAAATACCCAATAATCAAATATTGGTTATTCCAAAACGACATATGCAGCAATGCTGCAATGTGACCAGAAGAAGTACATGGAAATCATTTCCAGTCCAATCGTAATTTCCAAAGGTAAATGTTCAATAACAATTAATAATCGAACATTTTTGGAAGACACGCATGAGAACTTCAACCTAGAACTACCCATCATCGAGATTCCTGAACTTCTAGAGAATACCACAACTGTAAGACTAAAAACAGTCGACCACGAAGCTCTTCAATCAGCGATTAAAGAAGCAGACAATTTAAAGACTGACCCATTAAAAGTGTTAGATTTTAAAACCAATAATGTGTCAACATATATTATAATCATAGTATTAAGTTCTATTTGCATAACCATTATTCTTATTCTATATTTTAGAGGAAAACTTAATAAAACCCAAACTGAGGTGCAGATTGAATTGCCCAACATTGTTAGTCAATCCCAATTTGCAACCACTTAAGGAGGGAGGAGTTATATTGTAAGACCCTATGTTATCCTTATACTAATAATTCTCCTTTCCTATGTTAATTATTAGCGTACGCCTATGTCATTACTATTAAATATATAAAACTGCTTAATCAGCGGTACTGCACTGGTAGTATCGCCACCTGCATAGGAAAATGCTTGGATCAGCAAATATTTATTATTTAAGCCAGAGCTTTCCAGTAAGGAGCGTTCATTTGTTTTCAGGCACTCCCTGTAGCAATTTGATCCACATATTTTCCGATTGTCACTATTGTATTTTAATTAATAAAATAAATGTTTTTTAAAAATACAAGTTTCTGTATCGAAAATATAATTTTGGTAAAAGGCGTATTTTTTTTTATTACTTTACAAGCCTATATGCTCATAGTAACTCTTTGTATTATTTGGATGAAAATCATAATCATTTATTCATCATGCCAATACAAATAGAAATGATGAAACACGTAAAAAAGTAGTAGTGGCCATCACCTCTTAAATCTTGGCAGACCAAAAACTAAAACACCATGCGAAAGAAAATATAAATCTGAAAATCCACACAAAAAAAAAATATATCAATGATGGACTGAAAGATTTGTCGTTTTAATTATTTGGAGGGAAAAATTTGATTGTATAAGAAACCCCGATTTGGATCGCATAATTGGCCGCATTACATGTACCTTATCGTCACGAGACAATAATGTCGACTCCCAAGACTATCCTGAAGGATATAACGGCGGAACACAACAGGACTCCACAAGGAGGCGCCACTGCAGCAGGATTTTCTGCTGGCGTCCCGGCGATCCCTGCTGATGCAGTATTCCGACGGTTTTCGAGCGCCATGCGTCGCGACGTCTGGCAAAGTACGTCATCAATGGACGGATGCTCATCAGCTAAGAAAAAGATAGGTTCTTAAAATTGACGCGTTATGAAAAAAACTGACACGAACACCCCAATTAATAACTGTATTGGAAAAAATCGTTTCCCAAGTTTAAATTTGCACACAAAATTGAACAATATAGTTAAACTATTATAGTGGATAAATACTGTGTTTTCAATTAATTTTGTGTTGCGTCTAGTTGAAAGAAAAAGGGAGAAAAGCTACCCAAGTTTTATTTTAAATTAACAGGTTTGTTTTAGTATTTAGAATTTAGTGTTCCTTGGGGATTTTTTTATTCAGAAATTTGAATATATTTCGGTTTAAGTGTCATGCGTTGGGGAGGAATCTCGAGAACGATCTTTTGAAGGAGTGCTTTGAGAGAGTTGGACGTTTTTAGATTTTCTAAAAGAACATTTCAGGTATCAAATTTAATAAAAATATGAATCTTATTGTAAATTGCTTTTTTGGATTTTACTTGTTTCTTTATATTATAATTTAATTCAAATGGGATGAATAATAACATTATCCTTACTCAAAAAGCTTCAAATCGCTCTATAGGTGGGACATTTCAGAGGAATGGATTCAACTAGTTTTGATCTGGTGAAATCTTGACAATCAAAAGAAATACTCTTTAAATCTTAGAGCTCACTTTTCTAAATTTTCAAAAGATATCGACTTTGTTTTGTTTTAAAATATATATATAATATAATGACTTCTAACTGCAACATTACCTACTGAATATTCTGATGGTTACTGAGAGACTTTTCTTAAAAACCAAAATTACCTAATCTGCTTTATTTCTTGTCATTCAGCTTTATAAACGTCATTGCAGACCTGCTCATATATGCAGCGAATGTTTATTTTGGAAATATGATGGTTCACTCCCAGAAAGAATTGAAAAAAGTTACTTGAAAACGGTTATTTATATGTATAATCACACAAGTCCGCCTTGCTGCCATGTTAAAAACTCCTATTCCTGCATTTGTTTTTCTTGAAAATTTATATTCCTTCCAACTGTCACAAAATGACACATTTTGGTAGCCTTATAAACTAATATCCATTCAGTTTCTTTTTTTTAGTGGCTATGAAAATCTGGGAGATACGGTAGCCCAAACATATAAACAAAAAATGTCCGACAAGGTCTCACTATTGCAAATTTGAGGGTAACTTTTTTGTCAAATTGAAAAGCAGGTTGCGAATGTTAGTACAGTATTTTTAATACCCATTTAGACTAACCCCATCCTTATTTATCAATCACGAATCAGATGAAACAAAAAATTACTAACAAAAATGAACGTCGATTGATAATACGTCAATTTCATTCGCATACAGGAAAATGGGAAATTCCTAATCTTATTTTATTTGTGTGTTGAAGAAGCGATATTCGTTTAGTTACTAGAACGACTGGTACTTCCAAATAGGTACTAAAAATACTACATAATAATTTGTATTAAATTTTAATGAAACAAGAATACTCCTATAATTAATATGCATATACATTGTACTGAGTGTTTGTTTATAACTGAAATACTCACTAACTTTCTTATTACTTATATATTGGAAAATTTCTTGGTAAATTGCAACCTTTAGCGATACAATGATATTTTTTTGTCGTCATAGGTATACGTTGCAATTTATACCAAGAAATTTAATTTAAATTTAACTTATTAATTTAAACTTGCCCGTTATTTTCAATAATAAAAAGGTTACTGAGTGTACCAGTTATAAACAAGCACCCTGTACATAACAATTGATGATTAATTTGAAAAATGAACATACGTAATTATTAAAACATCTCTAGCAGAAGTAATGTAATATCCTTTGACTATTCTTCTAAGCCTCATGTCTTGTTGTCGAAGGGTTGTGCATAGAAGAATTTCACAAGCTCCATTTTCAAGCAAATTTGCCCACTGATGAGTGATGAGGAATATGGCTCATATAAATAATACAGAGCAAATGCTTTTGCAAAAGTTTTTTGAGATAAATATATTCAGCTTTAATGCAGCAAAAAAGGAAGTAGGTAGAGTGAAAACGTTTGCTACCTACACCTTATTTATACGAATTGCTTCAAAACCATCAGTCAAACAATTTTCCAAAACAAGCATTCGTTGTACCTACCTACCTCTAACGTGTCCAAACCATGTAGTAGCATGATTATATGTATTTGGACCCATTCCTACAGCATTTACTATTAAAGATAGAAAAAATAAATAAATACAAAACATGACAGTTTTTTTCTATATTTTCTTTTAACGGTATCAGAAAAAACAAAGGCGTATCGGAAAATGGAGAAACGTAGGCAACTTCGACTTTTTTTAATGGAACACCCTGTACAGGGTGTCCGAGTTTGGATAGTTTTAATAGGAAACATCAATCTCTGAGCAAGATACAAAAAAATGAACCCCCTACTCCGAGGCTCAATTTTCTTGAAATTTTGATTGGTGCAAACCGCATTTTGATATCTTCATCCGTTTAGCCGCTAGAGAGCGATTCGCGATTTTGAGCAATAATGTGAAACCATCATAACTTTTTTGTTTATGAAAATTATTGATTTCCATAAAAACTTTCTAGAAGCACTTTTTCAAGCAGAATTCAATGACGTTCTCAGTTTTTTTTTAGTTAGTCCCAACTCCGAGATATTGACCAAAGTCTGGTTTTTTTCAATAGGACACTCTATATATTAATAGCTCATTAGAAAGCTCGGCTTTTTCTGATTTCAATGATAAAAGTTCGATAGGTTTATCTCTAATAGTTTTCGAGAAAAATAGTTATTTTCCTAACAAGTGCGCAAAGTGTTACTTTTCCGCACGCAAACACAGTTATACGAACGACGCGAAGCGGAGTTCGGATACGTGTTTGCGTGCGGAAAAGACACTTTGCGCACGTGTTAGGAACAAAATTTTTCCTACGAGCTTCATATCAGGTAGGTAATAACAAAAATTTAAAAAAAAACCGATAATTTGTTTAATTATTTTTAATTAACTTGAAGGGAACCTATGCATTTATCAAAAAATTACATAACAAAAAAAAATAACAGAAAATCCTCGTCAGAGCTGTTCATCTTAAAGCGTTTTAATTTAATGAGAAAGTTTGTAGATTTTTGCATATAAATAGAGAACAAGTCTGACAATGTGTCAAAGTTAATTTATATTTGGTGTTTGTATAGATGTTGGCTGATATAGAAACAAAGGAAAAATTTGTCATCATGTGTCAAAGTCGACAGGTGCACTTATTGTTGCTTGACAATTATAATTACTTTTCGCACTGAGTGCGGAAAAGTGTAACTTTGAGCACGGAAATGAGTGCGGAAAAGTACTACTTTGCGCACGCTCGTAGGAAATAGTTATTTTCCTAACAAGTGCGCAAAGTGTTACTTTTCCGCACGCAAACACAGTTATACGAACGACGCGAAGCGGAGTTCGGATCCGTGTTTGCGTGCGGAAAAGACACTTTGCGCACGTGTTAGGAACAACATTTTTCCTACGAGCTTCATATCAGGTAGGTAACAGGAAAAATTTAAAAAAAAAACGATAATTTGTTCAATTATTTTTAATTAACTTGAAGCGAACATTTATCAAAAAATTACTTGACAAAAAAACAAATAACAGAAAATCCTCGTCAGAGCTGTTCATCTTAAAACGTTCAAATTTGATGATAAAGTTTGTAGATTCTTGCATATAAATAGAGAACAAATCTGACAATGTGTCAAGATTAATTTATATGGTGTTTGTATTGATGTTGGCTGATATAGAAACAGAGGAAAAATTTGTCATCGTGTGTCAAAGTCGACAGGTGAACTTATTGTTGCTTGACAATTATAATTACTTTTCGGCACTCAGTGCGGATAAGGCCTGTATCCGCACTGAGTGCGGAAAAGTGTAACTTTGAGCCCGGAAATGCGTGCGGAAAAGTACTACTTTGCGCACGCTCGTAGGAAAAAATATTTTCGGTTTTTGTCATAAGAAGCAATGTGTAAGAAAAGGACTTTATATCTGTAAGGAAACTGAGAAAGGTCTCTTTCTAACTCATTGCTTCTTATGACAAAAGCCGAAATGTTTAAACTGTTAGAGATAAACCTATCGAAATTTGTATCATTGAAATCAGCAAACGCAGAGCTTTCTAATGAGCTATTAATATATAGAGTGTTCCATTGAAAAAAATCGTATTTTGGTCAATATCTTGAAATGGAGGCCCAATAGAAAAAAACTGAAAACGTCACTGAATTCTGCTTGAAAAAGTGCTTCTAGGAAGTTTTTACGGAAATCAGTTATTTTCATAAACAAAAAAGTTATGAAGATTTCACAGTATTGCTCGAAATCGAAAATCGCCCTCTAGCGGCTAAACGGTTGAAGATATTAAGATGCGGTTTGCACCAATCAAAATTTCAAGAAATTTGAGCCTCGGAGTGGGGGGTTCATTTTTTTGTATCTCGCTCAGAAATTGACGTTTCCTATTAAAACCATCCAAATTCGGACACCCTGTACATTATGCGATAAAATGAAAGATCTTTTCTTCATTATTCCAAATATATTTATAGGTGCTTATATATTGATCACATTTGGGTGAGTCGTTTTTGATATATCTCAGCTTGAATCATAAATAAAATCCAAAAAAATTTTATCAAGATTTAAATGTCTTGACATCCTTATGAAATTTCTTTGCAAATTATTTATATATAATAATAATTTAAGCTAAAATATGTCAAGAACGGCTCATTCAAATGTAATCAATATACATATACCTACTATAGGTATTTGGAATCAGGAGGAAAAGATCTTTAATTTTTTCGCAAAATATAGGTACAGGGCGTTCCATCAAAAAAGTCGAAGTTGTCTACGTTTCCCCATTTTCCGATGTAATTTTGTTTTTTCTGATAACGTTAAAAGAAAATATAGAAAAAAACTGTCAAGTATTGTATTTAAAATTTTTTTCTATCTTAAATAGTGAAGGATGTAGGTATGGGTCCAAATATAATCAAATACCCTGTACAAATCCTTTCACGAGGGTTTATACTTTTAACATCGAAGACTTCATAACTTGAAAAAAAAAGAGTTGTAGATTAATTCATATGACACAATCAGTTTTTTTGACAAATTAAAATGAATAACTTCTGGTTTAAGAACCGACCAACGTATTTAACATCATTAATTTGTTTCAGTCAATTTTAATTTGTTAAAAAAGAAAGCAAATTATGTCGAAAGTATGAACGCTTGTGAAACAAAGTGTAGTAGTCTGGGGGCCGAGGACCT